CTTGGCTTTGCTTTGCTGTAGAGAGACACAGAGAGAGACAGAGAATGTCATCCTTTTAGAGATTTCTTCAATAAGTGCTGAATATACTGCATCTTGTTACTTTGACTGGCCAAGATCGGCTTCAACTAGTCGTATCTTTGCTTCATTAACCTCTTGCCTCTCTTCCTTCCCTTAAGCTTTGCTTGAATTTTTAATTTTGAACATCGCGATGAAGCACACACAGAGGATGAAACAGGACCATGGGCGGCGGGCGCACTCCTGATGATGATGGTGCGGTTTGTCGTCGTTGTGGCATCAGGGGCGAGCGCTGTCGAGGTGCAAGCGATGACAGGGATGAACGGGTGGCCAAACAACATTGCCGTGCGACCGTCGTGGATGGATCATCTTCCTGATCTTGTCGTGTTTTGGGCTGCCAAGACAATTCCTCCTGTGAGGAGCCGTGACGGCTGGTGCGCTGATGGACGCGCTGGCCAGGCCCAGGAGCCGCGGAGCCTGTTCAGATTCGGCACAAAGCCCGCATGCAGGTGGGGAGTCGATCTGCGACCCGCTTTTGGAAATGCTATCCATGCCAAAATGGGAGGGCAAGTGTGATCTTTTGGGGGCGCGAACCGCCAGATGATTCTGACGGTAGTGCTGTGTGACAGGATGGTCCCAGGTGGACGAGGACGCCACAGTGAGCACCGGACGTGCGTCAAGGACCTGATGTGTGCCTTGCTTTGACGTGTCCCCTAAATTTGAGATCAGCTGCCCGGCTGCCATTTGGTGTTGGTAAAGGAGCCAAGGCGGTTTTTTTTTTTTTGGTTTGGGTCGCTTTGAGGTGGGGCTGGCATGTGACAGGATGGTCACCGTCCACCCGCGACGCCACAATGGGTACCGTAAGCGCATGAAAAATCCGAGGTGTGCCTTGTTTTTGATGTGCACCGAAATTTGAGACCAGGGGCCCGGCTGACATTTGGTGTTGGTAAAGGAGCCCGCCGCTCGCTTTTGTCAAGTTTTTGGCTTCTTGTTGTGTCGCCGGCTGTGAATTCGACATGACAGCCAACTGCGCGAGCTTTTGATGCGCTCTACTGTCGGTAGTGGATCAAATCAGTCATGTGGGGTCGGGCGCAACCGCCAACAGCGACACGATCAAAGTGGCCCCGCATTCTGGTCCGTCGTGACAGGGAAGAGCCGCGAGGAGCAGGGCGCGGGGGGGGTGGTGCTTCACGTCACACTAGCTGCCCAACGCAGAGCGACGTTGAAGCAGGAGCTAAAGAAACCCCCAGACGGTACACACAGAGAC